TAAAAGGTGGAGGACAGAAGGCCTGCTGCACAATAGGACCCATCACATTAGTAGGGACCTCAGGAATGTAACCCGGCCTAGGGTATAAAAATGCTTTAACCATACCAGGTGCAAATTCCAGACATGAAGGAGCAACCGACAGAGCTTGCAGATCTCCAATTCTCTTAATGGATGAAATAGCGGGAAGAAATAGAGTCTTTAGAGTGAGAAACTTTTCTAAAACCTCTTCGATAGGCTCAAAGGGAGCCAAAGTCAGACCCTCGAGTACAATGGCCAGGTCCCAAGCAGGTGCTCTGGAGTGCAAAGCAGGCCTCAGCCTCAATGTTCCAAGGAGAAAACGAGTGATTAGGGAATCTCTCCCAAAAGAAGAAGCCCCCACGGGGGATTGAAAGGCAGATATAGCCGCAACATACACCTTCAAGGTGGATGGAGATAATCCAGAAGAGAAACGATCTTAAAGAAAATCGAGAACTGAACCAGCCTGGCAGTTAACAGGATTTAAAGCACGTTCTCCACACCATGTAGAGAATAGTTTCTATTTCAAATAATACAGTTTTCTCGGGGAGGGAGCTCTGGATTGAAGGATGGTCTCCACGACCTCAGTCGAGAGACCGGAACTTACGAGCTGGGCCCCCTCAGAGGCCAAGCCCACAGTTTCCACAACTCCAGGTGAGGGTGGAACATCGTGCCCCCCGCCTGGGAAAGCAGGTCCCTCCTGACCGGAATCTCCATCGGAGAGCCGTCCAAGAAGGACACTAGGTCCACAAACCACACTCTGGTTGGCCAGTGCGGGGCTACTAATAACAGATGAGCCCATTCCTGGTGAACCCTTTCCAGAACTCCCAGGAGCATCGATTTCGGGGGAAAGACATACAGGTGTAGCCTCAGCCACACCTGCACCATAGCGTCCAGTCCGAGAGGAGCTGGCTGCGTGAGGAAGAACCAAAGTGGACAATGGGTTGTATCGTGAGATGCAAAGAGATCGACCTGAGCTCGACCGAAGTTCTCCCATAGGAGCTCCACCACCTCGGGGTGAAGTCTCCACTCCCCGGCCCTCAGCCCCTGTCTTGACAGAATATCTGCTTCCACATTCTAACACCCTGGAATATATACTGTCCTGAGTAACAGCGGTTTCCCTTGGCCCATAGGAGGATCTGTTGAGCCATCTTGCACAATAATCTGGACCTCAGAACCCCCCGATGGTTGATGTAAAACACCACCAATGTGTTGTTCGTGCGGACAAGCACATGATGGCCTCTCAGGTCTGGCAGGAAGTACTTGAGAGCCCGAAATACTGCCATCATCTCGAGTCGGTTTATATGCCAAGACTGTTGATGGTCCTGCCGTAGACCTGTCGCCGAGCGGCCACTCACGACCGCCCCCCAGTCTGTAAGGGAAGCATCCGTCGATAGCGTGATGCGTCGACGGAGGTGTCCTGGGCCCCGGGTGAGGAACCAAGGTTTCTTCCACATGACCTAAGGCACGTAGGCATTGCCACATGACCTTGATCGTGCAAAACGGATTTCCCCTCGGAGAAAACCCCTTGGTTCTAAGCCACCACTGCAGGGGTTTCATGTACAAAAGGCCAAGAGTAATACGTAGGACACAGCTGCCATGAGCCCCAACAGTCTCTGAAACTGTTTCACAGTGAGTGACTGGCCTAGTTTCACATTCTTTACGGCTGTGAGAATCGCAGAAATACGTGCTGGAGACAAGCGTGCTTGCATAGTTGTCGAATCCCACACTACTCCTAGATAAGTGGTCCTCTGTGCTGGGAGGAGCACACTTTTCTTGGCATTTAGCCATAACCCGAACTTTTTCATGTGTGAAAGAACGACATCTCGATGCCGAACCGCCAACTGCTCTGACTGAGCTAGAATCAACCAATCGTCGATATAATTTAATACGCGAATGCCCTGGAATCTGAGAGGAGCCAGTGCTGCATCCATGCATTTCGTAAAAGTGTGGGGTGATAGACCTAGCTCGCAAGCGTCCCTTCAGCCCGAGGCACCGTCACATAACCATAATCAGCAGCACCCAACACATTACTACAGTTAGATGTCTGGGGATTAAACACTAAACAATGAAGCTGGTTTGTTCCACGATATCGACACTTCAGTGTGGAGATCGGGAAAGAACGGTAGTCCTCGACGTGGAGGTGGTGTTCTGGATGATAAAAATCTTTCATCAAGCAAACTTTTCTTAGAAACACTCTCTGATTCATCGGTTGGCCATTCAATATTTAATCTAGCAACAGCGCAAGATAAAACCTCCAAAAGCTCCTCATCACCGGAATTATGAGCTGGCGAAGACTCATAATCCCCCATATCAACGCTGACGACATCCAATTCCTCAGAACTGGATAGTCTCAGCATTCATGCCTCGACCTGGAAAGGAGAAGCCGCAGTGCAGGCTCCTTCCTGGGCATAAACACCGGATCCAGCAGGTAAGGGCTGAGAAAGGCCGGAGGCCGTCTCAAGCCCCGCTACTAGATCCATGTGCAAACCCTAAGATGAAAGCCGCCTCTGTGCCTTGGCAACTGCGGGACCCGCACCTCGGGGAGTGTGAACCGAATCGTCCTCCTCAAAGAACGCCCGGCGGGAACGGAGCGTTCTCATAGATAGCTTCATGCAATGCTCACAGTCAGCTCCCTCGAGAACTGACTGGGAATGTTCCACTCCCAGACAAGCCACACAAAGCTGATGTGTGTCCCCACCCGTAAGAAAACGAGGGCAAGGAACAACACAACGCTTAAACTCTTGATTCGCCATAATAATGATGTGATATAGTGTGCTTGACAAACAACAATAAATAGACAAGGACAGAGTACAAAGATCGCTTGCTGAAGGCAACAAGCTGTCGCGGTCTGATTTCAAGGGTGCTTTGTAGTTTCCTGGTCTATGACGTCACATGACGTCCTGCTCTCTCATTGCACTGATTGTACAAAGGCTTCACGACGCAACCACGCAGAGCATTCCCACCACATTCAAATGCAGCTTGAAGTTCTCTTGAAAGGGAAGCACATCTTTTTTTTCACCTTCATCAGGGGAGTTGAATATTGTCATTGAGTCTAAATGATTGTTTTTGAAAATTAAGGATAAGATACTCATCCGTAACTTTGTTTGTTTATGTTGCAGAAAGCCATAATTGGTTGTTCAGCTGCAAGCTTTGTTAAAGATGCTCAAAGCGTAATTTCGGGAAGAGTGAACCCATCTAATCTTTTAATTAACCGCCAGACCATATAAGCAGCCACTCACCTTGCTCTGACATCAGCTGTTTTGGCATCCCTCACCTCCCCAACTCCAGCAATATATTTAGGCATCTTGCTACCATGCTTATCATCCAAGCATTAAGTAATCTCACTGAGGGGTATATCTAAGTTCAAGTTGAAGCTGCTTCCTAGACCCCATTCACTCTGGACAGCAAGCCAAAATATGCTTAACCTTATTAGCTTAAAGATTATGGGCAAAGGAACTTGTGAACTCTGGGGTTATTGATAACTTTTCTCAACAGCACTGGCAGACAAATAGGGGCGCTATCTCGCTAGAGTGTGGAACTGAGAAAAATTAAGTTGTCCCGCCAAATTAATTATAAGTAGGACACTGAAAAACTGGCAATGAGATGTTAAAGTAATGAAATTTATCGACATATCAAAATTTTGAGTTCAAACTTGACTTTTGACCACTATTTTAAAGTTACTGTACTCTGCCTTTGTATTGTCAGCAAAAAGTGAGAGGTCATGCCAAGGCAAAAGGCAGTAACTTCCACATTATCAATATTTGGTTGCAGATCACCCTTCACAAAATCAGTATAGTAACACCTGTATAAAATCTACTGATCATGGTATTTATTGTGTATGATTTACAATTACCTATAGCCTTTTGTGCAATAAGTACCAAAGTATGTATTGTGCTTTGGTTACATTCTGGTGGCCCTATTACTATAGACATGACAAAATACCCCATAGCTATATTTATAGGCCCAGGCCAAGCCCCCATTGGATCTGACATCACCAAGGGCCTCTCTGCAGGAAACGCTCAGTTGCCGCAGGACCGCCAATAGGCACTCGAGCCGCCTTGCCTATGTCTGCATGTTGCCGCAACAAGTTTTACATTAATTCAAAATAAAGGATAATTTGTTGCCTTCAATATCTTGTGGAAAAGAGGTTTTCCCCTAGTGTAAGATATTATGCAGTACTCATTCCCTCTTCTAGAGAGAACCAAGGTTACATTAGTAATAGAGTACTTTAGGTGGTAGAATGATATGTTATATGTTGGAATGAAACCTTTCCCTTCCTCTGTGAATTTGTGCTGACCCAGGCTATGCCATACTACTCCTGTGTCATCACTTGTCCAGTTCCTCATTTGTTTGATGAATGTTCCCAGACAAGTAAATATTACAAATCAAAACGGTATTTAGTATAAGCTCACTTATTTCTTCTGATTAGGTCAGTAATTTTACGCTGTACTAATTCCCAGGGGTTTGGATTGTTGCGTTGGGTTGTGATCTTTACCAAAGGGATGTTGGTTTAATTATGTATAGATGAAATTAACAGATGTTTAATTTCTTCTCATTGGGCTTAAGGGATAGTTCACCCAAAAATGAAAAAATGTTCACCCTCAAATAATTGAAAACTTATATGAGTTTCTATCTTCTGTGGAACACAAAAGAAGACATTTTGACAGAGGTTGCTGGTTACCCAAATATTTTGGTGACCACCGACTTCCATTGTATGGAAGAAAAAAAAATGTGACGTTTCTCAAAATATCTTTTTGTATTCCACAGAATAAAGAAATATACAGTGTGCAACAACATCAGTATGAGTAAATAATGGCAAATTGGGTTAACTATCTCTTTAAAGTATATTTAATTATTTTTTTTAGGTCTTCATTGATCTGTATATAATTAATTCTCTCTCTCTCTCTCTCTCTCTCTCTTCTCTCTCTCTCTCTCTCTCTCTCTCTCTCTCTCTCTCTCTCTCTCGCTCTCGTATGTTTTAGATTGAGATCCGGGATACCAGGGACCCTCGATTCGGTGTCCAGCGGTTTCCGTAATGAGACAGCATCCTCCCTACGTTATCTACTCCTCCATCCCTCTCTCCTTGTCCTCAGGCCTGTGTCTCTAAACTCAGTCAGGATGCTGCTAGTGCAGCTCTTTGTAATATAGAAAAAGACTGGAATAAACTTCAAAAAGAGAACATATTGAACATACACCAGTTTAAAAATCATGTGAAATTAAAACCAATAAAAAGAAGAAAAGATCAGCTTTACATAAACCAACAACTCTGGGAAAGTAAAAAGTTACACAAATTACTACTGTTATTTAATAATGCTTTGATGACAATTATGATGATAGTCATGATTATGCTTGCAACAGCGATATTATGTTCAGACTTTCATATTTTATCTAAAATGGGGAACATATTTATAGCTTTAAGAAAATATAAGGGAATCAATGCATATGTACAAGAGTTTGGGTGCTACTTTGGACACGCAGATGAAAAGGAAAAACATCAAGCCAAAAATTTAAATAAACAAAAAAAAATAAAGAAAAAAAATAAAAAACATGATAAAAACATTTTGTACAGCACCAGATGTAATTTTGAAGACCATGTTTTTCTGACAAATTTTGAATTGCCCTCTTTGTACATGTGGTCAGCAATCAGAGTTAATTGATGAATTAAATAGTTCAATTGTAAATTCTATATTTATATGGATACAGGGTACAGCCATTAAGCATTTATTCACCCACATCATATTCCTTCTACTAACTGGAATGGATTTAACAGATTTATTATTTTATCTCTCATTTCACCTGAAGGTACCAATGATCATTCTATGACTGTGCTGCAGAAAACACTGAACAACAGCTGAATACACCGCTATCCCACATACATCTAATTTGGCATGCAAATTCCTTTTTACATTTCTTTATCAATTAACTGTTATGAGATTTATGATTAGTGATTTGCACATGAACATTCTTTGGACTCAGCTACATTAATTTCATAATATGTTTTCTTCAGCTTTTTGTGTTCATTGGACAAATAATTTTTTCCCCATCAATCATTTGTCTTGAGGAAAAGCCCTGCATGCTGCATTTTACTCAGGCCCTTATCTGCCATATACCACACTATAGAGCATAGTGGTACAGCACAAAGTTAACCATAACACATCTAGCTGACCCCTGGTAAAAAAATATAACATATAAAATAGCTTGAATTTCATGTTGGCATATTCTAGTTTTAGCTGATAAAGTGATGGTCTAGCTGGTGGACCAGCATAGTGATGCTGATCTCAAACAAAACAGCATGGTCCACCAACACTCCGGCTTCACCTGGTGACCAGCAATGCTGTATTTTTCAGCAGGGACTCCTGAGACTTGGTATAGTGTCATGATAAATGGCATGATCTCTGTTTCCAAGATGTGTTGCACAATTATTCACACAATTTCTTAGCATAAAGTCCCATTACATTAAATGGACTGTTGTCCCTTAATTCTTCACATATGCAAAATGCAACAACTGATTCTCGTAGTAGAAATCAACGAATAAGAAAAATCTGAATATTTTGTTATAAATTCCTTAAATATTTGAATCATGATGAACCATTCAAACAAAATAGGAATTTGTGTGCCTAAGGTTGTACTTGTGTTTGTGTTTTTTATCAACACCTCCCTCCACTTTGTGTTAAACTTTATCTTGTTATGGCAAAATTTCTGCTGTGGCAGTGGCTGGAGCAAACAAAGACCATCAAGGTGAACTGGAGAAGAAAGCTTACACTAATTAGGATCATCTCAAGAGGAAAGCCCTGTTGGGGGTATGTCTGGCCCCTAGTCTGCAGCCCCTTTCTGCCGGATTTTGGAGATGACATGAAATGGACATACTCCATGGTGCTTAAATCCTCCTAACCCTTATGAAAAGACTGCTTTGCTGCTCCCCATCTACCTCAGTCTTGAACCCCTCCTACTCTATTTTCTTGATATGCTCCACTGGGAAACCAGAGATGAATGCTGAGATCAGATGGAGAGTGAGGCTATGTGGAGCCAGAAGATTAGACTGCACTGGACTTGGCTTTCTATTCTGTAATCCTAAAACACATTTTCTCCATAAATTCCCATACATTTCTACACTACTATTCAAAAGTTTGGAAATGCTAAGATATTTTTTTTCAAGAACCTGAGTCATTGATTCACCTAGGATGTATTTAATTGATCAGAAATGAATATATAGGCATTTACAATGTTACAAATGCTGTATTATATACAGTTGTAAATGCTTCACTATTTAAACTCTGTTCAAACGCTACGTTAGCATTCAGTTTATTAAAATATTCAATTGAAGTTTCCTTTCGTTGTCACTCTGAGTTCCGTCAGATGACGACGAATGGGGTTTCGCTTAGAAAGCCTATCGACTTTGAGTATTACAAAGCGAGCCAATGGCAAAGAAATGCCATGGGTCTGCGGATTTTGCATAGCGTATCTCCGCCTTACCTTGTGGATATAAAAAGGAGGACGCCGCAACATGCAGGTATGTTTTCGCTTCGGAGCCAAGAGTTTTCTTCACTCCTGCAGCCTATTCTCTGACTATTTTTGAGAATCTTCTAGACGAGCAGCTTCCAGCCGGTGTTGGTGTGATGGCGAGTTACAGCGTGTGTGTTTCTTCCTGGGCGCTTCAGCACTGCTGCAAGCTTTTCTCCCACAAAAAGACTTTTCTCTCTTTCTAAAGACGATCTGCCCTTGTATTTCTGAGTGCGGTATTCTGATAGATTCAGCTGATGGGTGCGAGCGCTGTTTTGACGTGTTTGGGCTCCGTTTGCACTCAGACAGCGCTTGTGGGTGTGTCATGTTCTCCCAGCGGGAACGTGACCATCGCAATGTAACGGTTGAGACTCGATGAGCTCAATAGAGTGAGAGTCCTCTCATCCACACCCCGATCTATTTTTCTCCACGTGAGATAATACTTCGGCTGCTGGCCAGGGTGACCTAAGATGGCAGGTCTGGAACTAAACTGACGAAAATTCCTTGGTTCACACCCCGTCTTTCACATTGCAACACGCGTGGTCCCAAGTGAGTTCGCAGGCCCGCCTGCGGGCCCGTGGTCTCATTCAGTCCCCTGGCTGATGAAATCATGTATATCGCCGCATCACATGGTGAGCTGGAGTCCTCTAGTGATGATGGCTCGTCAGTGCTGCTGTCCAGTTTGAAGTTTGATCCAGAGTTCATAGCTATGCTTTTCTGGGTTGTCGCGAGTATCGGGCTTGTGTGGAACCATCTGCCATGTCCCGAGCACTTAAGGCTGGTGATTGGTTTTTGGGGGTGGCGAACCCAAATCCTTTGTAGCAAATGCAACATTTAATAATATACATAAAATGTATTTAAGGGCCAATTTAGCTCAAAGGAAAATGATTAATTGATTTGCAATGAATCTAGGGAACCGAGCAAATGACTCGTTTGGAGTTCATTTGAACGGGCAGTAATTTGCAAGGATATAAATACCCAATCTATAGTGAAACACTATGTCTTAGCAAGGTAACTTTAGATCGAACAGTACAATGCATTAAATCTGCAAACACGACACAAGGCAATTATCTTTTCAAATATATGGAAGACTTTATTAGCTATTCTAAACACAAAACTAAGGTCTAAACATAATCACACACACACACATTCATACAAGGCGCAGAGGAAAAGAGAGCGAGAAAGAGTGAGAGAGAAAGTTTCAACTTTCTATATGCACGTAAGACATGACCTGAAAGGACCACCAAGCATTAATTTAAACCTTCATTTCCTAGAGAGGTTATTCAATTAACATTAAAGCACCAGTTCAGTTAGAGTATGAAGGGTTACTTGCAAGTTCATGCGTGGCTTTGGGAGTTCCCTTTGTCTGTTTCGTAGAAGGGGTTTCCCTGCCGGGTCCGTTGCGTGGCTGTCTTCTCGTGTGCCTGGAGGAGGGAAGTCTTGAGCTGCCGGTCACGTGTGGTCAGCAGACGAATGAAAGTCTCGGATTCGAAGCGCGTTGCAGGAGAGCCGTTTGAACGAACTTTGCAGCAAACTTAACTTTGAAACGAGACTTTTACGAAAAAGAAAATAAAAGGAAAGAAATGAAAGTAAGGCAAGTTTAGATGGCTTGAATGAGCTGTTTTAACCCCGATCTGGATGGGTTATTTTGTTTGCTGGTCGAATTTGGTCTAGTCGATGTAGAAGCGTGCGAACACGCTCTTTGTTTCAGAGAGAAGCGCGAACAGGAACACTCTCTTGCTGTTTTAGAGAGAGGCACGAACTTAACAGTTACAAACTGAACGAACGAGAAACGAACGAAAACTCAACTTGAGGTCTTGTTCCTTTGTTCGGATCTTTAAGTTAAAACTCAGTCCAACCTCCCAGAAACTTCTGGCCAATGGGACCCTGGCTTCATTTCGGAGGTGGATCTATCTTCTGCTGATCATAAATTAGGCATGATCTGTGATCTTCTCGCTTTACAAGAGACCACATTTTAAATATTATAAATTTAAAGGAATACAAAACATTTTACACAGATTTCAATCAAGACATCTTTTGAATCAAGAGAATACGATTCTTTTGATTGGAAACGATGCATTCACACTCTAGAGTTATAAACAATCACAAATAGTTAACAACGATTACATGAATATGTGATGTACGCAGAATACATCAACATATGAATTGTAGAAACAGTAGCAAACATAGAATTAAATGTTTGAGTAGGACCAGAAGGGTCCCACTTTATATTAAGTGGTTTTAAGTACTATGTATTTACATTGAAATTAACAATTGGATACAATGGACTTATTGTGTACTTACATGTTTTAACATTGTACTTAAATTTTAAAAATACCTGCATGTAATTACAGCTGTAATTAATTTATGTAATTACATTTGTAATTACACTGTTGACCCTACCCTTGCACCTTAAACTACCCTTAAACCGACCCATACCACCACACCTGTCCCTAACCTTACCCGTATCACACCTCAATAGCAGCAAAAGTGTTTTACAATACAACAGGTACACAATAACACGTTGTACTTATTTTTCGATGTAAGTACATAGTACTTAAAGCCACTTAATATAAAGTGGGACCTTATCTTAGTAAAACATTAACGCATTGACAGTTCTTCCTGTTTAGTGCCCATATTTTGGGCCTGCGGCCATAAAGGAAAACGGATCTGGGGGTTTCCTTGTCCCAAACCAGACACTCTGGAGCCATCCCGTGACTCTGGAATGTGGTGTTAGCTCACATGGGTTCCGTTGTGTTTGGTTCAACTCCCCCATCAACTCCCCCATATCCACGGTTCTCGGCCGCCCAGAAGTGGACTGTCGCTATTTGGTCTGACCCCGCGGCCATCTGCTGCCAACCAGCCACCGGCTCAGATGCCTCAGTCCACTTGCCGATCCGCTATGCAAAATCCGCAGACCCATGGCATTTCTTTGCCTTTGGCTCATTTTGTAATACTCGAAGTCGATAGGCTTTCTGAGCGAAAGAATCCGACGGAATGTCTCTGTTCCCTACTCAGGGAACGAGGGTTACAGATGTTTTATCTCGTTTTCTATAACACTAGGTGTTTCTTGTGAACCTCGGCTCAACACTTCATCCATTCACTCCTCTCTTTGTGCTGGTTAGATTCAGTTTTCATTTTTCTTTCAAGACAGCAATACAAATAATAGCCTTCATCTTTCCAAAGAACAGACTGATTTTGTTGACTGATACAAACTCTACTGTAGGCCATCAAATGGACTGCTGTTTCCACACATCATTAAGCTGCACAATTATTTTCAACTGTGCAAATACTAAAACAAATAACTCTGTGAGTGCCAAACAGACACATTCAAAGCAATTCTTAAATATTACACAGTATAACACAAGGTTTTCTTAACGGACCGGAGCAATGGCTTTGCAATGCTCTGATCAAAGATAAAAAAATCATTTTAAAAATAGAAGAGTGATTTCAAACCATGTTAATAATTTACATATCACTGGTTTGTTGTATTTTGTTTTGATTAATTAAATGCTACATTGGTGAAGAGACGGATGAATTTCTTCTTTAAAAAACATAAAAATGTCTTGGTTTTGCCAAACTTGGTAACGTATTTCTGTATTCATCATTCACCGTAGGTCATACATACAAAGAAATTCAGAGCCCAGCAAACAATACATATTCAATAGTAATTTCATCCTGGGTGCACTGTGCTGGTCAATCTTTTTTGACAGGAAAGACACAAAGCAGAGACCCCAATGACAACTAGTTATTTCTGAAAATGTACACCTCAGGGGCAGTGTATATCTGCAGTATTCAATATAATTTCTTCTCTAAGCCATTTATATTTTGTGTTTGTCTCACAGAACATTAACATGACCATTGCCCAGATGTTTTTTACAAATTGACTGATTTATGTAACATTTTTGTCTACATACACAGGAAACTTTTAAGAGAAAAGTACCAGTATCCTGATCATAGTGTAAAACTAATTTGATATTTATGTGTTTTCTTTTTCAGTAAATCTCATGTGAAACAACATTGTCATTCGACATCTAGTTATTAATATTTCAATTTAAAAAAAACAGTCTTTGATAGGCCCATGTTACTGAAGATTTAGTAGTGTTTGTTTCATTTATTTTGTATTTTTACTTTCTTTCCTGTCTTGCAACACTTTTTCTTAATCTACCATTTTAAAAAAGAAAAGAAAGTAACAAAAGAAAGAAATAAATGTGCCAAAATGACAAAACAAGACTATGGACTGTGGAAAGATATGAAAAGGTTAATTTCTGAAGTTTACATTGTCTTTTCCTGTGCTTCACGTGTTTAATGCCTCTCTTTTGGAGATTATGCTTTTTGCTCTAGTTGTAAATGTTTTTTTTTCCCCTCTGATCTTTCTGGAATGCTGTAATCTCTAAATTAAACAAAAATGTATAAAAAAAAATGTCTGCAAGTCATAGGGGAGTGCAACATAAACTGACATCGTCACCATCACTGAAACATTGTTGGTGTTGTTGTTTAAAATATATAAAAAAAAAAAAAAAAACATTGAATACCATGTCATGGGATTATTTGGGGGGAAGATACAAATTTACTCAGGTATACAAAAAAGGGGGGTTTGGTGCCAAGCAAAACAGATGGAAAAACATCAGACTCTGAAAGGATTCCTAATCAGTGCTTCTGATCCACATCCTGAATGATTTGTCCAAGTTTGTTGTTTATCTTTTTGCATTTTAAAAATATTATGCTTAGCCTAATCTCTAATTCATGGCTGTGCAACATACAATTTACAACCTACGTACAACCTCATACAAATCATGCAGGTAAAATGGCCATATCTTAAAATCCACGCACAAAACACAATAACATCCCATTTAACTCCCTGTAAAGTAGAAAAAAAAGGGTCCACACGACTGACTTGTTTATTTTGATTAAGTATGAATTTGAGCGAGTGTGTATCATGCTATATTTAACTCTGTCTGCACAATAAAAAAATATGCTGGAAGCCTGTTGCAAATTACATAACAATTATGAACAAATGTTGTCTGTGTTCCCAGTCAGGCAACCTTTGGCAGAAAGCCACCTCCTCTATTTCTCATTAACAGCACTACAGGAATGAAGGACTAGATCAAACGAGTGAGGGATGATGAAAAGGAAAGGCTGGGCACTGGCCAGCACAGACAGGATGGGCTATGGCCAGAGGAGGTGCCAACATATCAGCAGGCATTAAACGCATATTTGGTACAGCCAGGTGCAGCAAGCTGTGCTAGAGAAACTCCTCCATCCTGAGAGTAATTACAAGTTGGCTTCGTATGAATGCCAAAAATGTGACACTGCCACAGTGTGTCACAAAATGATGCATATTGCTCCAGTACACCAAGTATTGCTTTATATTCCCCATTTATTGCTATTTTTCACCCATAATTTCATGTAAACATAACTTGAGGATTGTATGGATCACATGAAGCAGTCACACTTTATATTGGGTGTCTTTAACTTTTATGCAATGTACTTCTTGTGTTCTTATTGTATTGCAAAATACTTTTGCCACTATTAAGGTTGGATACGGGTAAAGGTTAGGGACAGGTTTGGTAGCTATGGTTAGGTTTAAGGGTGGGTTAAGATGTAAGGAAAGGGTAAACAGTGTAATTATACATGTAATAAACAATTAAATGTTGATACATAATAGACATGTACTATAAAATGGAACTCATTAAACTATAAATACAAATGTTAATGAATTTCATGAATTATAAACCAAAATTAATCCACAAACTAAATTTGATTTTAAATGGAACACCATGTCTGTAACAGTGTTATACATGTTGCAAAATGTCACAAATAAGTCTTCAGCTAATACTAAATAAAACAGTCCTTTTTTAATACTTGATATGCTAATCTTAAGGTTCAATATCATGATGAAGGAAATCTGCAATAATTTGCTTCCTGTGATTTTTTCCCTCCACAGCCCTTGTTCTATCTTTCACATATGTGGCTGTTGCTTATTAAAATACCATTGCTAATTTAAGAAAGCAAGCTCAACCATAGAGTCAGTGGTGTCGCGGTGGTCATCA